TTTTTTTTTTTTTTTTTTTGGACGGAGATTTGTTTTGAATAAATAAGAAGCAGAGGAAGAGAAGACAAGCATCTGCTGGGTTTCTACTTTCACTTCACACTATCCAGGAATTTTCCTGATTTTACCAAGCATAGCAGGGCTAAGGTTTAGGTTGAGGTGTCACTGACTCCAAATATGACCTAGACAAATAAATTAGCTACTGCTTCAAAAATGCAGTTTTTTATGCAGTCCTGGGTGTGGGTAAAATAGGTCCTTGGTAGAGAAAAGGTAGAGGTGTTTCCTTACCCGTGTTGCCGCATGGCAAACCTGTGCTCGGGCTAGAAGAGACGGACACAAGAGGCTGGATGGGAGTTGGGGACTAGATTTGTGATTTTCGGTGTTCTTAGAACATTAGGGTTCCATGGAAGTGCCAAGTGGGCCAGAAGGATGGCCCAGGTGGTAGCATTTTGAGTCCTTTTACCCTTGAACCAAGACTGTTCTGTTCTACTTTCATCTAATATATTGGCATTCGGTATCAACCTTGAAAATGTGTGCACATGTATGAATTCAGAAGGTTCTTGTACTAAAAACATAGCACTAAAACTACTGGACTAGATATTCTTCAACATTTCATTCATCCTTAAGATTCTGGGATTATAATATTGTAGCCAGCCTACACTTCAAGGGCTCTACACACATCATTATTAATCTTGAACTTGGCAGTATTGTGATACTGTGTGCATTTCATGGACCTTCCCAGGAGCCACTGCACAGTATCTGTTTGGAAGGTCTCAGGAGTAGTAATCAGGCAGAGCTCAGGGACCTGTCCAGCAGCTGTACCTGCATCATAAGTTGTTCAGACTCTGGACAGCAGATCCCTAGAAACAGCTTCACTTATAAGGGCAAGGCAGAAATAATTCAAGTATACTACAAAACAGTTTCTCTTTTTACCTGACATCTAAGTAATGTGATCACCTGAAAGAAACTCATTGCTCATTCTTTAACTCGTTAAAGAAAAGACATGATTATTATAAATATAAACTTCATTCCATGAGTCTTATAGAATAACAGAATCTTTTTCCTTCTGAAAGTCAACTAATTAGTTATTCCAGTGGCATTTATTTCTTCCCCATCTTCAGCCTAAAAGTTTAAACTTAATAATTCATTATTATTATTATGAATCATATTATTACTATGCTTGCTTGGGGCTGATGGAGATTACAGGGGGCAAAGGGGAGCCCTAAAAGCCCCACCCGAGCCCTCCAGCCATCCCTTTGCTTGACTCAGTCCAACCATTTGTGCCATTAAGCCCAGAATATATACCTTTCTAGTCTGACTTCAGAGCTGGCCTCTTGGGCAGCTGAGTGTAAACTCATTTGCTGGTTTGGTGGTGCCCTGCTCACAGGGAGCCTCTGATTCCCTGAGCCAGCCTTTTGTAGTTCTGCCTTCCTGCCCTCTTATTCTGTGGTCAGTAATTTCTTTCTGCTGGCCAAGTGCCTTCTGTGCTCATCTCTTTTTCTGTCTGTCTTCCTCCTCTTTTCTTCTGCTCTTTACTCCCCCTCCAGCAAATAATCAAACAAGCAACAACCGAGCCTCAGTTGAGTCTCCCCAACTCATTGGAGTAAAGCCAGAAGAAATAGAGCCCCGCAGGCAAGGGAAGCAGATGGGTCAGTGGTGCCTTCTCAGAGCACCCCTCCTCCTCCCCCAAGGGGAGCGAAGGCCACAGTAGTCATAAAGTGGGTTTGGTTTCCTAGGGAACCCTGTGTTTTCTGGTTCCCGTCCTCCTCCCTTGTGATTGGGCTTTGTGCACTGGCTTGTTTAATGCATTATCCCGCCATTTGGAACGCTTTAATTTTTCAGACAATTGACTTTAGACTCGCAGAGAATATTGTAGCATGGAAGGAGTCAGGACTGTATTTGAAATCTATTGTTATCTTTGTGCACAGGCTCCCCAGCTTGTACCTCACGCTGTGCAGGGCAGCCACAGCCACAGGAGAGCTATGGAGGGGAGGGGAAGTCACTCTCCCTGCCCCCACATTCTTTGCTTTTGACAATAAGACTCAGCAAAGACTCATACAGTTGTTTCTTAGTAAGGGGGCTCCACAAGTGTGTGCTGGCTTATCATCAGCCTCTATTGTCTAGAGGAAGACTTGGAATCC